CTGATCCCCTCCTCACTGCCCCCTGAAAAGCATATTCACTGCAGAAATTTTGTAAAACACAAAAATATAATAATGGAAATTAAAATCACCCATTATCCCATCATCTAGAGAAAAATGCTAGTAACATTTGGGAATCGTTTCCATAAAGCTTTCTATCCATAAATATACTATATTTCCTCTCCTCTCCTACTGAAAACTCTCTATATTTGTATCCTGCTTTTTTTCAATGACAGCTTCACAAGCACGTTCCCTACATCAGCAGTCCCCAGCCCTTTTGGCACAAGGGACCAGTTTTGTGGAAGACAGTTTTTCCATGGATGGGGGAGGGAGGGCGGGGGCAGGAGGGTTTGGTTCAGGCAGTAATGCTAGCGATGGGGAGCAGCAGATGAAGCTTCACTTGCTCACCCGCCACTCAACTCCTGCTGTGTGGCCTGGCTCCTAACAGGCCTCGGACTGGTACCCATCCACCGCCCAGGGGTTGGGGACCCCTGCCCTCCATCACCAAATACTCTTCATTCAGTTCTTGCAACTGTTCAATATTCCATCATAGGAATATACTGTAACTTAGTCATTCTATTAATGGACATTTATAGCTACCATAAATAGCACTGATAAAAGAAGTGTTATGATGTTCAACTTTGCACACAAATCTTTGTATTTCTTTTCTTTCTTTGGCATAAATTACCACTTGTAGAATTATTCACTGGTCCAATGGGTATAAACATTTTGAAGGCTCTTATGCATGTTGCCAAACACCATCTTAACACATCTGCCTCTCTTGCCTACCAGAGAGGTTGTTAACAATTTACTTTCCCGCCTTCACTGTGTGTGTCAATTGCATCATGCTGTTACTAACCCTGCCAACTTCCTATAATTCCTTTTTAAAATGCCACTTTTCACCACATATAAGCTAAAGTTTATTATTTATTAAAACAGCATTGTAGGGGGAGTGAGTAAGTCAGATTCCAGTACATTTTTGTGTGCCTACATGTGCTGGGCACTATACCAGGTGCTTTCTTGTTTATTGCTAGTGAACACCACACCCTTAGAATGTGGGTGGCATCCTTTCCTTGTCCAATCCTAGGAGGCTGTGTTTAAAGACACAAAGCTGGGAAATCCCTGGGAGTCCGGTGGTTAGGACTCTGTGCTTTCACTGCTGAGGGCGCAGGTTCGATCCCTGGTCAGGGAACTAAGATCCCACAAGCTGCTGGGTGGGGGTGGGGTGGGGGGATGGGGTGTGGGAAGACACACAGCTGGTCTGTTATATGGCCAGGATTGGTAACCAGGTCTCTTGGCTTCAAGCTGCGCACTTACGTATTTACTTAGTTTACTATATCTCATCTGCTTCAAATGGCTGAGCATATTCTTTATAAGAGACTAAAATATATTTTATTGTAAAAGACTATAATGTATTCACAACTTACCAGTTGTTTTTTTTTTTTTTTAAGTTTTTGAGAATTAAAAATGTCAAACTCGGGCTTCTCTGGTGGCGCAGTGGTTGAGAGTCTGCCTGCTGATGCAGGGGACACGGGTTTGTGCCCGGTCCAGGAGGATCCCACATGCCGTGGAGCGACTGGGCCTGTGAGCCATGGCCGCTGAGCCTGCGCGTCCGGAGCAACAGTGAGAGGCCCGTGTACCGCAAAAACAAACAAACAAACAAGTCAAACTCTAGAGTCAATGATCACTCTGAAATTCTGCTTTACCAGAAGACATCCTAGTCCCCAGTGAAAGTTATTCAACCAAAGGTGAGACCAGCAGGGGTGAGACCAGCAGGGGTGAGACCAGCAGGGGTAGGAAGGGGCCAAACCACTTGTCCTCTTCTTACTCAGACTGGCTACCAGTGTTTGTAAAGGCTTGAGATGAGCTACGGAAAGTGAGCAATGCTATTTTTTCTTTTTTATATTCATTCATTTGGCTGCGCCGGGTCTTAGCTGTGGCACGCGGGATCCTCGTTTCGGCATGCGGGATCTAGTTCCCTGACCAGGGATCAAACCGGGGACCCCTGCATTGGGAGCACGGAGTCTTAACCACTGGACCACAGGGGAAGCCCCTGAGCAATGCTGTTTGCATGGAGAGTAGCTTCAGCCATTGCAAACCACAGGCAGAAGTTGAATCACGTGGGAGGGGTGTGTGTGTGTGTGTGTGTGTGTGTGTGTGTGTGTGTGTGTGTGTGTGTGTTTTTTTTTGGTTCTTTTGGCAAGCCTTAGGAACTGTGAGGCTCTATACTTCTGTACATGGTCTTCTGCACAGCACATGTTGAAAACTGGCTTTTGGATCTTCAGACACTTGAAACAGGTATTTATAGCAATTTCATAAAGACAGTCTTTTCATGCCCCGAAACAAATTTTAAACTGTGAACATTAAATCATGGGTCTTTATTTTTGTACTCACTATCTGATATGCTAACAGGACAGTAAAAGTGATTTGAAGCTGTTCTATTTTCCCTTCATTTCAGAAAGCTGTTCCAGCTAAGACTGGCCACAGTCTTAGCTCAGGACAGATTCATAAGGATGTCCTAGGCCACAGCAGGTTTTTTTCCAGACACAGCAGGGGTGGACCTGGAAAGTGGCATAACATTTAGCTGTGCCTTTCACCCATTGTGCCAGTCTCCCTACTTCCTGCGTTAGAATAACTTGTAATTTGGTCTCTGGAGACGCTTTCTGGGGAGGTGCTGCACAAATTCCCTGGTTATTGTTACCTCATTTGTAGGCAGGACTCTGTAGAGTTTGAAAGTCCTACTCTTAAAATGGCTGAACGTGCTGCCTGGAGTTTAAGCATCACGGTTCAATCCCGTTATAACGGAGAGGAAGCTGGCAGGAGGCCGGCAACAGGAGACGCTTTAAAAATCGAGCTTTTCAGCTCGATTCTAACTCTGCTCCTGGTCATAATAGCCTGCCTCCTCGAGTTGCAGCTGAAAACCCGCAGCAGAGGGGCAGGGTGCTTAGAAACACTCTGAGTAAATACTTTGAGAGGGGAAAGAAAGGTAGGGAGAGAAATGAGAAACCACCATAGAAGGCCAGAGATGGGGGTGGGATTGGGGCTGAAGGGGTGGGTAGAGGGAGGGAGGAAATATTAGCGGAATGGGAAGCTCAGAATAGAAGACACAAAAGAAAATGCCAACTAGTGAAAATACTGAGAAAGGATGGGTGGAGGGGGGACCGACGACTGGGGAACAGTTTAGAAAAATAGCAATTAGTACAGCTAAAAATAAAGACTAATTTAGAGACAAAGCCAGATACACAGGAGAAAAGTAGGACTCGCCAGAAAGACAATTCCTCGTAAACCAAATCCTCAAGAAAATGGGGCTAATGATACCCCCTCTTGGGCTGTTTTGCAGAAATGAGATGATAGATTCGAGTGGAGCTGGCGGCCCTAAGCAGGTGACCGGCGGAGGGAGAGGGGAAATCAGGCCTACAGCGCAGTGCGGCCCGACTGATTCTGAGCGTTGAGCGCAAAGGCCCCGCCGAAAGGTGTGCCACGTGTCCCGAAAGTTAGTGTCTCCGGCCAGCCGATGTGCGGGTCAGAGGCACAGCTCCGCGCTGGAACCTGAGGGGTTCCTACGGAATTCCCCCGAGGTCCGCCCTTGGAGCCTCAAGACCGAGGGCAGAAGGCGCCCAAATTTCGGCGCCCGCGCAGCGCGGCCCGGGAGAGGGCGCCCACCTGCTCCGGCTCGGCTCGCTCCGCCCGCGGACACCGCGGCCCGGGTCCTGGCGATGCCCCGCTGGCTTTCGCGGCCGTGGGAAGGCCCAGCGCCCACGGAGTCGCGGGACAGGCAAGCCCGGGCGCGCAGGGATCCAGGAACCCGAGGGCAAGGAGGCGAAGGCCGTGGGCCGCACCTGGGTTTTTCAGAACCACGAGGCCTCAGCTTTCCGGTATCTGGACCAGGAGGTGACCCTCGCCGGCTGCCCGGCAAAAGCGCGCTGAGCCACGAAGCGCAGTGCGCTGAAGGCGCCGCGCCAGTTTCCCAGGGCTGCAGGGAGAGGGCGGGAGGCAGGGATGGACGCTGGAGCTGGGGGGCAGGTAGGGCGGGGCTCGGGCGGCTTCTCTGGAGAGCCCCGCCGGGCGGCGAAGGGTCCCCGGGACCCGCGAACCGCCTGGGCAGGGTTCCTAAGTCCCTGGCGGCGCGGACTACTTCCGAGAGAGTGCGCTCCGTCCTGGGATCTGGGCCGGGTCCCGGCGTTTGGGTGTCACGCGGGTGCGCCCTGCCCGCCCAGGCACCCCGGGGCGGGACCGCAGGGCCCCCTCCTGGGCGGGCCGGTAGGGCGCACGGAGCGCGCCACGCGGCGTCCGGCCGGGAGGAGGGCGGCAGGGTGGGGGCGGCACGCTCCGGGGCGGTGCTGAGCGGGCTCCTCCTCCTCGCCTTCCTCCGGCTCAGCTGCAGCGCTGCCCAGCGGATCCTCCTTCCTCCCTGGGTTGCCCGCGGCTATGTTTAACCGCGCCGTGAGTCGGCTGAGCAGGAAGCGGCCGCCGTCAGGTAAGCTCCCTGGACCCCGCGTGCTGGGGATTGGGGCGCCCGCAGGGGCTGCGATGAACCGCCCGGGCAGGCGCTACCCGCCCAGGCCATCCTTACTAGGCTCGGGCGCGGCTCTGCGATGCCGCACGGAGGGGAGCCCCGGCCGAAGGCGCCACTTCTCCCTGCTCCGTCCAGCGCCCCTGCGGTCCCAGCCGCGGCGGGAGCGCAGAGCCCCGAGAGGCGCGCTGGGGAGGAAGTTTGTCTGAAAGGAGGAACAACAGCAGTTTTCTTTTTAGTGATGGTCTGGGAGAAAAAGGAGATCCAAAACATCTCCAAACTTTGGAGGTGGTGTGGGCTCTAGATTCCGAACGCAGAACGTCGCGCGAGTTTCCTCCCTTCGGGAGTCCTCTGCCTCCGCTGCGGGCGTTGGTGCGAATGATGCCCACGCGGCGCCAGGAAAGGCACGCCTGGACCTGGCCAGGCATCCGACAGGGCTGCTAGACCTTGGCTGCCGGACGCCTTCTGTTCTGCGCCGAGGAGCCGAACTATGGGGCAGAGAAGGAGGGTGAATAAATACCAGGTGAAGGGCGCATCTGCAGTTAGCGCCAGGGAAGAGCCGACAAAGGATAGTTTGGCTGTCACTCTGGACCAGCCACAATTTGGAACGATTTGATAGGACAAAGAACCCGTGGTGAAGATGAAACCATGCCCTTGATTCCAACCATCTTACCCTTTTTGCTCCTAATAGCTAAACCCCTTTTGAGCGCTAATTGTGGGCCCGGGTCTGTGTTCACTCTGTTTTGTGAATTCTCTTTTCACCTTTAGGGCAACCCATCGAGATAGGCATTGTTCTCCCCACTTTACGGAGAAGGGAACTGAAGCCAGGAGCTATTAGGTAACGTGCTCCAAGTCACACTTAGGTGATGGAGAATCTTTCAAACCCAGCTCGGCCTGACTCTGGAGTTCAGAGGCTTTTCTGCCGCCTCCCACTGGGAGACGCTTCTGCTAGTACCAAGAGGCTGTACGTGTTGGCCCGTATCTTTTTTTCACCTGATGTATTTTATGAGGGACACTGTGGTGAAGAGGATGGACTGAAAGTAGGTTGGCTGGGTCCAAATCCCACCTCCACCACTACTAGCTGTGGAGCCTCTCTGTGTAGATAAGGATCCGCAAAATGAGAATAAAATGCCCTTCTAAATCGAAGCTGGTTTCTCATCCATCAAATTTTGCAAATTATTGCATTTACTATTTAGGACAACTCTAATAAAGTAGGACTTCATAGAGTTATAAATTGCTTATATTAGAGTTAGTGGTCATGTAAACCTTTCTGTGTTACCTGTGGGTCAAAGGATTCCCCTGTGGGCGTTCATTTTAGCCATTCCTTATTGTTAGATATTCACAGGTCTATGGAGTGGTGGTCAGAGCCTGGACTCTGAAGTTAAACTCCTGGTTCCCACCGTGACTCTATCATTCAACTACCTTGGGCAAGTTACTTTACCTCCGAGCCAATTGCTAAATTATTGGGAAATTTGGAAGCTGGTTGCTAAATTGTAGGTAGCTTGAAATTGGCTACCAGTGGCCATTTACACCTTGGAAATCAGCAGATGCTAAAAATCAAGCTTTTTTGTTTTTGTTTTTCCCTGGGAGAGCTGGCTTACCAGCACAGCTCTGCGTCCGTTTTCCCATCTGTAAAGTGGGTTCAATAGAGCTGTGGAATCAAATACATGAAAGCATATATATGAAGTCCCTAGTACAGTGCGTGGCATTACTGAGTAATAATGGTTAGCTCTTATCTTTTTCGCCTTTTCCTATTATAAATAGAGCTGCTTTGAACATCCCTGCACAGTTCGCTTTTGGGTTGAAGTCTTCCAAATAGAACACATGAATTTTGGGACATACATGGTTTTGGGGTGCTGTTGCATGTGGGCAGGTTGTACCCCAGAAAGACTGGTGGCAGTTTTAGGGACACCAGTGGAGTGTACCTCTTTCAGGGTAATACATTTTAAGTCTGATGAAATGTGGTTAGGTCACCGATAGAAAGAAAGATCAGTAGCTAAAAATCATGGATTGGTATTAAATGCCAGACTTCCAAGAGCCCGATTTCTTTATGATTTTTAGGTTTAATGTCTACCCCGTGATGGGAAAGGACAAATGAGCCCCTGCCAGTTTGGTCATCACCACCCAGCAGTGAGAAAGGGGGAATGTGGGCCCCGAGGCAAAGGCACTGGGAAGCCGGCCAAGTGATCCATGGGACCCTGGACTGATTTTTTTTTTTTTTTTTTGGTGATTTTGAATTATTTTTCTTAAAGTGGCTCTCCAGATTGTGTAAGTTTCTGGCCCCACAAAAACCGGATCCATCCCTGCTGGACCCTGATTTGAGCCTGGCTGCAGTCCTGCCTCCCAGCTCCTTTTACTCCAAACCTTTCTTGCTTTTCTGCAAAATCTTATTGGAGACAATGTCTTTAAACTGAGGTTTGGTGCTCCCAACGCTTAATTCCAAGTTTCGAAGTGCGATTCAAAGGGCAAATATTCTCCTTCCTGAGCTTTCTCGAAGTGTGTTCACAAACCACAAGGGGGTGGGAGTGGAGGTGGGCTCGACAAAATGCAGCTTTCCAGGCCCCCCAGACCCCGCCCCGTCCCGGATTCAGTCCCTGCGGACCCGAGGTGGGAGGGAGAGTTGGCTGCTTTTTTGACAGTCGATTCTTAAGCCACTGAAGTGTGAGGACCCCTCCAAGGATTCTGTGCACCCACCCTGCCCCCCACAGCGACTTGCACTGTTGATGGTAAATGGGATGCTCTCCTCTTGAAAAGCAAAGCCAGAGCCACGGCCTTCCACCGCCCCCTGCGAGCAGAACACAGAACACGGGCTGAACAGCCAGGGGAATTCACCGCTCCCCCGCCCCGAGCCTGTTATACATTATCCCATTAAACCTCTGGGACCAGTTTCAGATTTATGGCAGGGCTTAAGTTTTTATTTAAAGATGACAGTTGACATACAATTTAATGGCCGGCTTGGCTGCTGGGGGAAATCATCCCTGCAGAACATCACTGGGCCGGGCCTTCAGATTCAAGGAGAACGAAGCGGGCACAGAGAGGCGGGGCTGAGCGAGGGGTGTGGCTTATACACGTGTGGCGACCTGAACACCACCACGGGCAGCTCGCGGACTGGTGGGTGCCGGGCGCTCGGGGTGCTTTACTTGCCTTCACAGACTTTGTATGATGTATGAACTTATGTCTCCTTTACTCACTGTTAGGAACTGTGGAAACGAGGCAGGTGCCTGGCTGGGCCATTTCCTAGGGCTTTCTGGGTGAACTGAGTCATTTCCCTCCTTGGGGTTGAGTAATCCCCTCGGCCCCCTGCCGCTGAGCTCTGGGAACTTGCTGTTTAAATGGTACTAAATTTACGCTCACCAGTTTCTTCTGCTTCCCCCAGATAGCTCTCCACGGCAGCAGCCCCGGGGGTGGCAGCGGGGGCCCAGGCAGGCGACAGAAGCAGCTCCTCGATAAGAGCTGTCAGGAGGCGCACACTGGAGCCAAACAGTCCCTTGCAGACTTCCGGGGACCAATTTCCCTTCCCAGTAGGTTCCCATCTCTCGAGGGCCCCGCCGAGTGCCTGTGGGTCGGCTCTGCTGTCCCCGCTCTGTGGTGGGCACAGGGACCCTTCATCTGGCTTGCCTTCTCGCCCAGTCCCCCCGCTGCCCGCCCCGCCCTTGGGTGGCTGGACATTCCCACCTCTGTCCTGTGTCCTCTCCCAAAGCTCCAGGAGGCCTGCTCTTCCAGGCCTCCTGCCTCCCTCTCTGCACCTGAAATGCAGCCTGCCCATCTTGTCTCTCCCCGGACAGCTGCAGAGGCCGCCCATTTCAGAAGGGACAGACCAGGGCACTCAGATCTCTGACCGAGCCCAGAGCTGCCTGCGTGACCTCACACAGTATCCAGTGTGTCATCTTGCTCGTGTGTATTTAGAGAGTGAGTGTGGAGCGGTGGGCTTTTTTCTTTCCTTCCTTGCCTCCCTGCTTCTCTGCTCCACTTCCTTCCTTCTTTTCTTTCTTTCTCCAGTTGGGACATTAAAAACCAACAATACCATCATCAACTGTCTTTATCATCCCACAAACGAAGGATGTTTCAACACCCCAAATAGTAGGAGAGATATAATCTCACGTAAAGAACTTGTCCTGATACACAAGAATCTTCCAGAGGCTGTTGCTTCTAGGGGAGAGGCTCTGGGTCGCTGAAGGACGGGGGCGATAGGAAGACCTGTCCCACTGTGCTCCCTTGTGTAGCTCTTGTCTTTTGTACCCTGTAAATAAATGTAATTATCTACTTAAAAAAGACAACCCAAGACTGTCCCACCCGATCAGCACAGCTCACTTGGTAAATATTTCCTTCTGCTTATTCTCATTCTTTCATGGACCAGTGAAGAAAACTTCATGGCAGTGTGTGGCATTGCAGCCAGATGCCATCTGGGAATGCCTGGCTTCATCTTCTCAATCAATTTTAATTTCCCTGAGAAAAAGGGCCCGCCTTTTATTTCTTGCACCTTTCCCTGCCCTTGCCTTAACAGCCTCTGTAGCCAGACAGCCTAGGGTTGAGTCCCAGCTCATCGACGTCCTGGCTTTCCCCTTTGGAGCAAGTGATTTAACCTTGTTGTGCCTCAGTTTCCTCATCTGTAAAATGGGCCACCGATGGACCCAACCTCCAAGGGCTGTGAGGTTGAGATGGGATGTAGTCAGTGTTCAGTAAATGCCATCTCTTTTTACAACCGTCATCCTCTTCTCTGCTTTGTCCCCCCTCAACCTGACAATCTATCAGAAAACAGCTATCACTATAAATCTATACATGAGTGCCCGGCACTGCAGACCCTGAGGAAGACACAGCTCTTACTCTCAAGAAATACACAGTCTACCCTACTGACACCGGAGGGAAAAAGTTACTTATTTGCCGAGGTGGGGGCCAGGGGAGAGCGAGGGCACATTTCCGCATAAGTCAGGTCCCAGAGGAAGCATGGGGGCTCCTGGAAAGTGAGAAAAAATACAGACAGGGTCTTCACTTTCACCTCCAGGATTGGGCTCCTGGGTAGTTTTTATTTTTTCTGGGCCTTTGCCTAGAAAGTGAGGATTCTAGGGAAGCTACAGTTAACAGTCTGGCGTTCTTATTTCCTTCCCTCTGGTAGAAAGTGGAAACAGGGGGCCATCTGTTGTTTAGTCCACTCAGAAGAGGATGTTGAGGCTTGTTTTTCCTCTGGATCCAAAAGCGTGCTCAGGAGCCCCGCAGCCCCCGTCTGTCTCGCACAAAGCGTCTCTGAGAAGGCAGCGGAGTTTTGGGCTGCGGGGACCTCCCCAGGCAGACCCCAGAGCATGGCACATAAGGAAGGGTCCCCACCCCTCTGGCTATCAGATATGCCCTCAGCTCACCCGTCGCTGGGTGCTGGCGGGCAGGGTAGAGGTAGAGGTGTGTGTGGTGCAGATGCAGGTGCACAGGGGGCCTCTGGAGGGCTCGCCTGAGCAACTTGACTTTTTCTGAGGCCTCAGACCTCGTGGGAAAACTGCCATGAGGCCGTTTCTGAGCCCAGCTGACCTCTCCAGCCTGTTGACCTGCTCTGGTCTTTGATGCTTGCTATCAGTATGATTATTTCAAAACGTTTTTATTTTTATTTTCTGCTAATGGCAGTTCATGCAAACCTCCCTACCAAGGGAATTGCATGCCTGAAGGGTCATTATTCTCAGAAGCTAGATACTGGCGCTGGTAAACACTTAAGTAATATTTAGATAGAGGGTTTCCATGACCCAGTTTCTCTGGAGCCTTACATGGATCACCAGTTGTGAAAACGGATTCTCTGCTTCTAAGCGGGATGACTTTTTAAAAAAATGTGATGTTTGATGTGATATAGGTGATATGAGGTTTTAAATCAGTTTTGTGGGGTGTGTACTTTCCCTGATTATTTTAAAGGAGTATGGTGTGTGTGTGTGTGGTACCAAACCACATTAGAATTTAGGGTTAACATTTCTGCCTTTTCCTGGGCTTGAATGTTTAGTTTGTTTTCTTTAATGTGCTGTGCTTTTGGGGGTGCCTTTGACAAACCCTCCGAGGATGTAAGTTGACTCTGCTGTTGAGGAAGCTGGATATTGAGAGTTTACTAAAATCTTTGACTTGGGGAAATTGTCTATGCAGGATCATTAGCCAGACCTTCCTGAAGACTAATAGCAGGAATTTGTTCTGATGAGTGTTAGAGATGCCTTTTGAGTATGGATTTCCAAGGAATTAATGTCTGGAGAAGGTCTCTGTTAGATATGACATCATGGCATCTATAAATAATGCATCACACAATATGCTGCAAGCAGTCAGCCTCAGCCCTCTGTACCTGGATGCTGTGCCGGCTTTGAAATAACAGCTTTTACCACACAGAACAGCGTAAACGTAAATGGAAAGCATATGCCCATTGTGTTCATGTGCTGGATGATTTGGGCCCAGTCGTAGGTGGGTTTTTGTCTGCAAGGAATTGGACTCTAGTTTTTGCAGTCTTCTCACACATAAGTGTTATCATTCTTGTCAAGGCCGTCATGTTCTGGCTTCTGTGAATGTGAAGATCAGCAGATATCAAAACTAACAATGGCAGCCCATTGTGGCAGATGACCTGGGCTCTGGAGGCAGGACTACCTGGGCTTGGACCGTGACTCCCCGTTTCTAGCTGGGTGCCCCTTGCGAGTTACTGTGCCTCCGTTTCCTCATCTGTGAAGTGAGGATAATACTAAGCACATCTGAGGGTCGTTGTGAGAACAGAATGATTTAACCCATGGAAAAAGCTTGGAATAGTACCCAGCACGTTGTGAATAATTCGTAAGTGTTAATGGTTATTATTAGCCAATGACAGATTCATCTGAAGATGAGTATATTGAAACATAAGTATCGTGCCTGCAAAAATCTGAAGATCTAAAATGCTTTGAAGGGCCCAGGAGGTAAAAAAAAATATTTTTTTCATTGCAGAAATGTTTTACAGATGATCTAAATGACAACAACAAATGAGCAGAGCTGGACAAAATGGGAACAAACAAATGTCATCACCAACTGCTCCTTACTAGCTTGAGTGATCTTAAAGCTGCTAGAAAGATAGGTTTAACTCTTTTTCCAGCTGTGCATTCCCAACCTACCTTCTTGTGTAATCCATCTAAAATGGAAACTTTTATCAATGAAAAAGGAAAGAAGAGTGTTGGACCTTTGTGTTTCCAAGTGCCAGGAACTGGGAAGGAGTTGGGAAGCTGGGAACTCTTGTTTTTGCTTTATTCTTAAGCTCAGAAGTAAACTTGCTTGCTGTGAAGAAAGGTTATTTCTTTCTCCTATACATCATTGGACTGATTGTAACATTTAAAGTGATCCAAGTTGTCTTAGGAAGCCCTTACTTACATGCATCGGAAAATAGTGGAAGTCTAGTTGTACCGACGAGGATCCTGAGAAATGGAAATGCCTCAGGTTAGGGGGCAGTCTCTTAGGGCATTGCCAAATAGAGTGGACCTCTGCCAGTCTTATTGGAGGTTGGGGATAATGACTTGGAAAAGAGAGACATCATTAAGTGAATGGAGTTTGCAAATGTTGCTCTAACTAGAGATATCTATCTATATTGATACCAATCAAGAAGGATTAAAAAAAAAAAGGCATAGCCAAAGGCCTTAATCAAAATTAAAAGACAATCAGGAAGTCTTGGCAAAATTCAAGTCAGTATTTCTGAAAAAGTGAAAACACATGGCAGTAGAGTTTGAGTAAAAGATTCCTATAGTAAAAGGACTGCTAGGGCAGAAGGTGAGCAGAAGGGCAAGAAGAAATTTCTCTTTATCCATGGCACCAAAGCCGAAACTAATAACCACGGCTATGGAGATACTTTCTTTGTCTTGGTAAGCTTTCTGGGCCAGCCCTGAAAATTCTGTGCCTTCTATAACAGTGTCAGCCATAGATGTATTTCATGACATCGATGGAAGGGAAATGGTAGCCTAGGAGGGAACTGAAAGGAAGGGCCACCCATCTGCAAACTCCTGTGTTCCAAGGCACCCTGGGGTTCCATAGAGGTGGTCCTGGTGGGGACAATTGCCCGCATATTTAAATCCCAGTACTGGTTCCATCCAGCAGTTCCTTAGCTGGGTCACCTTACCCTCTGGACCTTTATTTCTCAGTCTGTTAAATAAGGAGACTAGATCAGATGAGTGCGTTTTGAGTTGTAAAACTTTTTGTTCACACGAAAGCCAGCACAGAAACCTAATATGCAAAATGACTAGAGTATGAAATAAAAGAGGGGAGTGAGGGAGCAATTGTCTCACGGTGGGGATGGCTGTCTTATCCCTCAGTTAACCAGAAGACCTAGTTAACCAGAGCACTCTATTGGCTAAATGGGAATCCACCAAGTGTATTTATTTGCAAGACAGTGAGGCCGTGAAAACCCAAATGTGATTTGGTTTATTATTGAAAAGAACGTCAAGAGTTTTGGAATCACTACAGGCCAAGGTTGAAAAGTTATAGCCAAAGCAGTTGTTCTGCAATGGCGAGAGAAATTTCTGGCTACCTACGATTTTTCCGGAACAGCGAACTTGTGTCTCTAATTTATTTACTTAAGAGAAGATCTGCTAGGGGAGTGGAGTAAACTGTCAAACTGTATTCTTTGGGTAGAGAACAGGGAGTAAATCTGTGAAATGCTTGGCAGAATGAACCCTGTTGCAGAAATTTCTTACGATAATGATCTTTTAATTTGATTTATGCTTCATTGGGAAGAAATGCCGTGTTCAGAAGCTTTTGCCGTTTTAACATTTGCAAAGAGAGCAGAGAACTAATTTAATATCCACGAACTGAAGACTCACTTTAGAGAAGTGTCAGCTCCATTTGTGATGTTTGAGTGAGTTTCCCTCTCAAGTAAAGGAATGGATTTGTCCCAAACAACTCTCTTATGTGCTCCATCACCAATGCATATTGCTTCTGCTTTATTTAGCCCAAATCAGCCAATCAACGTATAGAACCCAGGTAGTTTCCCCAGATGCTAGGAGACCGAGTCTCAGCTGCTTGAGAAATTAATATGTTTGTTGACCTCCAACAGAATACAGTAGATCACAGAAGCTGAGTTACTTCCATGTTCAACATATGCTGATACAACTTTCCTCCAAAAACATTTGAAACCATATGACCACCTAGCTACTTGCAGCAATTAATATTCATAAGACTTTTAAAATTTATCCTTTTAAAAGGATTTGTTTTGCTGACTTCTTAATTTAAAGTTTATTTTCTCCCAGATTCAAACTTTTCTTTAGAGAGACATGGCTCTACTTTGAAAAAAAAGAAAGCAGTGGAGAAAAGAAGTATTAACTATAAAAATAGTTCACTTGATAAATCATTATTTTAAGGAAGCAGAGAGAAGAACTAATATTTTTTGAGGGTACACTGTGAGCACCTAGGTGCCTGATGTGTTTCCTCTTTAAATCCTTCTGTTAACCCCAAGAGATAGGGGGGTTATCTTCATCTTACGCAGAGTTTTGCCCATGTTCACATAGTTCGAATTGGCAAAACTGGCTTTGGAACCTGGGCCCATCCGAAGTGACATTCCATGGATTTTCCCTTGACTCCAGGAAGGGGCCAGATTCTGTAGATGAGGTGTGTTTGTGTTGTTACTTCCTCCTTCAGGCAAGTAGCCAGAGTGTGTTAGTTGGAGGTCCCCGTCCCCTTTCCTTTAGTCAAGAGGCTCTTTTTAGAGGTAAGAGTAAGAGAGTGCAGCAGATGTGCAGATGCAAAGTCACTGATTCATTTAGCCTATGCACTTTGTAACAGCGTCCCGCCGAGACATATTGGAGCCTGAGAGGCACAAGGAAAAATCAGTTAATAATGATCCTGTCTTTATTTAAATTTTTGGTATTTTGCTCATTATGGAATTTTTTGCATTAATTCTGATTTTTCAGAATATTGCATGAAAACCTCATTTACCTGATGCCTGAGTTTTTTGGGCACCCCCTTAAATTTTGCACCTCTGGCCAGTGCCTCCCTTTCCCCACCCTAGTCCCGGCCCTGGTACACACTTTAATTTATGTGCCAGGCAATGAGCTACCTGCTGGAGATACAAGATCAAGATGCAGAGGAGCTTTCAGACTGGTGAGAGCCGGTCGTGCAGTCACAACACAGCAGGATAATTATAAGACTGTGCACAGAATGTAATGGGGAAGAGTTGCTGTTGAGTCAAGGTCCCTGGGAGGAGGGCTTGAGGGAGACTTGAAGACTGCCTGCAGGTCAGCCAGTGGACACGTGGGTGGGGGAAGGATATATGGGGAGTGTTGGGAAATGACAAGTCCCTTCTTCTTTTTTTTTTTTTTTTTAACATTTTTTTTGGGGTATAATTGTTTTACAATGGTGTGTTAGTTTCTGCTTTATAACAGAGTGAATCAGTTATACATATACATATGTTCCCATATCTCTTCCCTCTTTGTCTCCCTCCCTCCCACCCTCCCTATCCCACCCCTCCAGGCATCCACAAAGAACCGAGCAGGTTTCCCTGTGCCATGCGGCTGCTTCCCACTGGCTATCTATCTTACGTTTGTTAGTATATATATGTCCATGTCTCTCTCTTCGCCGTATCACACCTCACCCTTCCCCCTCCCCATATCCTCAAGTCTGTTCTCCAGTAGGTCTGTGGCTTTATTCCTGTTTTACCCCTAGGTTCTTCATAACATTTTTTTTTTCTTAAATTCCATATATATGTGTTAGCATACGGTATTTGTCTTTCTCTTTCTGACTTACTTCACTCTGTATGACAGACTCTAGGTCTATCCACCTCATTACAAATAGCTCAATTTCGTTTCTTTTTATGGCTGAGTAATAGTCCATTGTATATATGTGCCACATCTTCTTTATCCATTCATCCGACAATGGGCACTTAGGTTGTTTCCATCTCCGGGCTATTGTAAATAGAGCTGCAATGAACATTTTGGTACGTGAGTCTTTTTGAATTTTGGTTTCCTCAGGGTATATGCCCAGTAGTGGGATTGCTGGGTCATATGGTAGTTCTATTTGTAGTTTTTTAAGGAACCTCCATACTGTTCTCCATAGTGGCTGAACCAATTCACATTCCCACCAGCAGTGCAAGAGTGTTCCCTTTTCTCCACACCCTCTCCAGCATTTATTGTTTCTAGATTTTTTGATGATGGCCATTCTGACTGGTGTGGGAGGAGGGCTTGAGGGAGACTTGAAGACTGCCTGCAGGTCAGCCAGTGGACACGTGGGTGGGGGAAGGATATATGGGAAGTGTTGGGAAATGACAAGTCCCTTCTTAACTCGGAGCCACAGTTTTCCGCATCTGTAAAATGGAGGGAATAGCAGCAGCCCCTTCATAACGTTGTTGTCAGGACTAGAATGAATGCACTGTGTTAAGCACGGAGAGTAGATTCTGGCATATAACTTACTGTTACATCTTAGCCATAATGGTGATGATGATGATCATAATGCCCGTTATAAGATGACAGTATCTTTGGGCCACATACACAGTCTAAACTTTGCTTTGCAGACATCCACGACAGTGATGGGAGTTCCAGCAGCAGCCACCAGAATCCCAAGAGCACAGACAAATGGGCGGCTTCTCTGGAGAATCTGCTTGAAGACCCGGAAGGCGTGAAAAGATTTAGGGTTTGACTTTTTTCGTTGTTCACCGGGCTCGATGCACATACAAGGAAGCTTAGAAGCCTGTGGGTGGAGCACAGGCCAGTTTTTAACACTGTCTGGCCCAACTTGAGAAGCAGAACTTCTCACCTGTCATGACCAAGATGGAAGTGATTTCCTGGGTAGTCACGGACCAGCACGGAGGGGTGTGCACAGACTGTTTCTGTTTTTTTTTTTTTTTTTTTTTTTTTTTTAGTTTATTTATTTGGTTGCACCGGGTCTTAGTTGCGGCAGGCGGGCTCCTTAGTTTTAACACATGGGCTCCCTAGTTGTGACATGCGAACTCTTAGTTGTGGCATACATGTGGGATCTATTTCCCTGACCAGGGATTGAACCTGAGCCCCCTGCACTGGGAGCGCAGAGTCCTATCCGCTGCGCCAGCAGGGAAGTCCCTCTTTCTGGTTTTTATATAGCTGGATGGGAGCAGGGTGGGGTGATGAGGAAGAGGTACTGTGCTCATTGGCAGAATCTACAAAGAATTTCCAGCTCTGTGACACCTGGGAGGGGGTGGTCTGGGTCTCTCTGATGTGAAGGTTTGTTCACTTGTATGTTGGGGATTCTCAGGATACATATTAACAGAGTGAAAGAGGCTGGACATCAGCTGACAAAGTGAAGATGAACTCAGAGAGGAGAGCAGGTGGGTGGGGAGGTGTCAGGGCTGCCTAGAAATGGCCTGCAGAAACCCCAAGTGTCAGAAGCAGCACAGGTGAATTTCAAGAATGCCTTGTATCTGCCTGAGTCCCACTGACTTCTGTCTTTTAAGTCTTGCGTCAGGCCAGGATAAGCCCTGATGCTGCTGGTCTCTGTAGCAGAATCCAAGGAGGGGGTAGCAGGCATTTCTGGACATAGGACCACCATCTAGAGCACCGTCTAGATCTCGGGGAGAAAACTTTTCTGTGCACAGCAGGATAGCTGGCTGTGCCACTAAGCCCCCAACATCTGCCAAAAGAAAGCACACCTCCAGCTTGAAATAGTTTTTATTGTGGCATTTTTAGACATGCTTAGTATGTTTTCTTTTCTTTTGTTTAAAAAAATGAGCCTGATTTTGAAGGAATGTACTTTGTTTAAACACTGTCTGGAAGGAACTAATATACCTTCCACTTTAATTTACTTTTTGGTAATTTATTGTCAGTTGAGAATTGTGAGTAGATTCCTACTTCATTTTTACTCTTTTTCACAGTGTCAAACCCATTAAGTTCAAATGCATATGAAATTCCAGCTTTAACGTTAAACATGCACTTTGTTTTCAGGGTGGAGCTTTTACAGGGTGAATGAACACCCTCATTTGTTGAATTCTGACTTAGTTCTTGAAGGGAAATGCATTATTTGTTTTCTAAGTAGAATACTGTTTGATATTTTTTCTTCTTTTCATCCACAGGAATTTTTGAAAAAGGAATTCAGTGAAGAAAATGTTTTATTTTGGCTAGCATGTGAAGATTTTAAGAAAACACAAGATAAAAAGCAGGTAGTTCTACTTACATTCTTGGTAATTTTCTTCTCTCCTTATAAAGTGACATTTGCCTTTCCAATAAATTTTGAAATTGCCTAGGGAAATCTGATCCATATTGGATTTTGGGGAAGATTTAAGCTTCAGAATAGCCTATGTGGTATTGATCAAATATTAACAATTTTTTTAAAAAGTGTGTTAATCTATTTTAAAAAATTAATTAATTTTTGGCTGCGTTGGGTCTTTGTTGCTGCGCCCGGGCTTTCTCTAGCTGCGGGGAGCGGGGGCCACTCTCGTTGTGATGCGCGGGCTTCTCATTGTGGTGGCTTCTCTTGTTGCAGAGCACGGGCTCTAGGAGCACAGGCTTCAGTAGTTGTGGCACTTGGGCTCAGTAGTTGTGGCTTGCGTCCTCTAGAGTTCAGGCTCAGTAGTTGGGCGCACGGGCTTAGTTGCTCCGTGGCATGTGGGATCTTCCCGGGCCAGGGCTCAAACCCGTGTCCCTTAACCACTGCGCCACCAAGGAAGCCTTGTTAATCTGTTTTTAAATGGAGCTGTTCAAATGGACAAATGTTTAAAGTAAAAATAATGATTTAACTCATTGAGAGTTTCTCGAGTATGATTTCTTTTTCATGAATAAGTTGTGTGAATGCTTCCCCCAGCGTTTGACATGTCTGTGTTTTTTACGGCCACCCTAAAGCAGATGTGTGGTGATAGAAGCACAGCGCGCATCAGATGGATTGTCAATTATTCAGTATATCGTTACGAAACGCATAGAAAGCTTCTGACTGTTCTCCTGGGTGGAGGTGGATGTGTGCTCTTTGCAGGAGGTAGCCTTTAGCTCCAATGCCAGCCAGATTTTCTGCCACTGGAGGGTGGGTGCTGGGGTGGTGGAGAAGATTATGGGGAAGGAGGCTTGTGGATTGGGCGTGTTTACGAGGCTCACGCCTGTGTATTTCTAAGAGGCTAGTGGCTAAATGCCTACAGGAGCCAGTAATAATGTGCACGAGTGAGGTTTTTTGTTATGATGCTGCAGGGAGTGGTGGGGATTGGGGCCATTAGGGGGTGGCCTGCCCTGCCTCCAGAGGCTGTTAGCTGGTTGTTTAGCTGACTTTGGCAGTGAACGCTTTGGGGTCTGTGGCCGTCTGAGCTTTCCCTGCTTTGGGTTCTACCCACCTAGGTCTTCGCTTGCCCACCCTTGCCCCAGAACCCTGAGGGACCTTGCTTCCTAAGGCATCTTCTCCCATCTTTAGTCTGATGCTGCCTGTTTTTCCAGAGAAGCTGGACATTTGGATTCTTATGTGAAACCATCCAATTTTATAAATGATGGAAGTAATTTTTTAAAAATGTAAAACCTTGCCTGCCAAACAAAACATATCCATGGGCAGATGTGGCTTGTGGGCTGCCAGTTTTTAAGCCTCTGGTTCCAAAAGCTGGAATCCATGAGGCCAAAAGCCATTATGCATTTGCAGAAAATGTCTCTCATTGGTTTATTCAAAGGCTTTTCCACCTCAGACACCCTTTCCCCGAGATGGAGCAGTGTGACCTTCGCTCTGTCACCTTCCCCTCTGTCGGGGCAAGGATGGATTCCAAGATCCCTTGAGCTGAATTTCCTAGGCCAGCCCAGAGAGCCATCCCGGGCATGATGCTGGGCATTTGCTTCCTTCTTGCTTCTTGACCCTGGATGACTTTATCTGAGCCGTTTGGGTTGGTGAATGGTCTCAGGTGTTGGCTGTGCCCCTTCAGCAGGCATGCCCATCGCAATCCTTTGCCCCCAGCACCCAGCACAGGGCCCAGGGACAACTGTCAACAAATGCTGGCCTGGGCAATGCATTCATCCGGCCTCACCCTAAAACCCTAGCTCAGAGTCAAGCAGGCAGACAGATGTCCATTTCTCTGCCTTCATTTGCGTGTTGGAGGTTAGAGGGGCTGACAGGTCAGCCAGCCACCCCTGCAGTGTACAAACCAGGCAGTTGAGGTACCCGTGCGGCTGAGCTGGGACTTGAACCTGCCCCATGAGCTGCCCAGTCATTTTCACTGCACGTGATGCTGACGTGCCCTTCAGTTCAGTTGAGTTTGCCAGATCTTTGCAGCGTGCCTGCTCGGGGCCAGGCCTTGTGAAAAGCATGGGTGACACACAGGGACAAGACAGATGAGACTCTTTAGGGAACTAAACTCTAGAGGGGAAGCTGCTTGTTAAACAAGCCTTTGCAAGTGTGACGAGAACAGAAATGGGAAGTGCAGGATCCGTGGGAGCACAGGCAGTGGGTGTCAGGAAGGTCCCTGGGGAAGTGACTCTCAAGCTGACATCTAAGTGGAGTTTGGAGATGGGGGCAGTGTTCCTGGAAGAGGGGACAGCCTGTGGGGAGGAAGGCCTGGAGAGAAGAGCTGAAGGAAGACCAGAAGGCGGGAGGCTTGTGCTTGAGGGGTAGGCTGGGTCCGCTGTGTCTGAGACTGGGGCCACAGCTGGAGAACCGGGGTGTCAAGGTGAACACTGAAAAGCCACGGGGTTGGATTGCACTGTCCCGTCCACATCCTACAGCCAGAGCTTCCGGAATCTGGCAGCCCCTCTCTGCTCCCCTAGCCCTGACACCTAGCATATGACTCCTTGAAGGTGTCCTGAGGCCTGGATGTTGCTCCTGGGCAATGAATGCTGCCTTGCCGTCAGCTGCTCAAGGATGCAGACAGAGCTGGGAAAGAGAGGAGCATGTGTGAGGCCTGCGGGGTCCACACCTTGGTCTGGGTCATCACACTCAGCATCATGACAGTTCCCACCCTTCCAGATGCTGGTCTGTGGTCTGGGAGGTTAAGCTGTGGCTCGCCTACAGCCGTCCGGCTCGGTGCAGACAGAGGCAGGATGCAGCCCAGGTCTCCACTCCCGACCATGTAGTGGGTCTGGCTGCAGGGGCAGTAGAACCAGAAGTAAGTTCTGTTTCACTGATTTTAAGAAGCAGAGAGGACATAGCACAGGGAGAAGTCAGCCCAACTGCATTTCACAATCAGACTTATTACGTCTGATCCAGCATGAAGTTTGTGGACCATTTATCTCTACAGTGAACTAAGGCAGTTGTGGGATTGATGCAAATCTCACTTTTGCATCTATTTAAATAAGACCTGTGCTGGTTGTTGTTGTTTTTGGTTTTTTTTTTTCATCTTTTTACTAGCATTATCCAGCCAGATCTCTGGTACCTTGTATAATTTATTTATCTTCTGTACAGTTTGGTTTTCCCTCTATCATGCAGGCTCTATAAGGTTTGTGATCTCTGTCTGTCTTCTCCCCGACTGGGACTGTGTGCCTAGGACAGTGCCAGGCTCGCTGTTTCCTTCCCAATTTCCACTTAGGTCAGCTGACACCTGAGGATCTGCCGTGGGTAGGGTCCCGCCCTCTCGCTCACCTTGAGCTGCAGTTGCAGCCTTACGGGAGGACTTGAAGGAGGAGCGTGCCATCCTTTCTGTTGGGGCTTTGCATTCTCAGAAGCTCCAAACAGTGGACTGGTGCTGTGTCTTTGCTGCCTTCCTTGGTCTGTGCTTCGGCCCCTGGCAGACAGGAAAGCAGCCCTTTAGTTTGGGAGGGTCTCAACGCTCTGTGTTTATGGTGGGGATGCTGGGGCTATAGGAAGTTGGGAGGGTGATGCCTCCCACCCTCCCTCCCTGGGGTTGTAATTGCCAGGTGTTCATATTCAACAATCAGCTTTCAAAGCAGTTCTCTCCCTTTGCTATTTCTTTATGGTTTAACATTTTCCTACGAAGAGCCTCTTCCCCATGAATTAGCATGTGAGATCCATCTATCTTTTAACATAAAGCAACCTTTATGTCTTATAAAACCTCAGAAAAAGCTCCGAGAAGGTGTTCATTCTTTGGCTATCCCTGAATTCATTCATTCACTCATTCATCTGCACATGCATATTGGGCCTGTTTACTGTGTAACAAGGATTAATATGGATATAAAAACCAAACCGAGTGGGGGTGGGGAAGTGGTGGGGTGGTACAAGATGTCTAATAATCATAACTCTGAGAGCAACTTGCACTGATATTTAAATATAATAGTACCATGCATTTTTATAGTGTTTTAGAGTTAACAGTTATGGGGGGAGGGGGTCTATGGTATTTATTAATTTTATTGTATTTCTTTAACACTAAAACTTGATCCAGGGTTTTAGAGTGTTTGATGTTATTTAAAGTAATAGTAAAGGTTTTCCTGAAAGGCTAAAACACCATCTTCTTTATTTAAAAAAAAACAAAAAAAAACTACTTAAAAATCCAAAAGTGATGAGTGCTCCTTATATGAAAGTCATTCAGTTCACAAGCAGATGCAATAAGAAGGGTTCATTCCCTCAGCACCCTCCAGGTTTCACTCTGTCTCTGGTTTGGGCTGTGTCTTTCTGACCTTTGACGTGGACTCGGCCAGGTCCAGGCGGGACCGGATAGGAGCTCAGCTGCTCACGGTGTGGGCTGGGGTCTGGCATGGGCCTGCCCAGCATCTCCACTCCTTCCTGCCTCACTGTGTAACTTTCCGACATCCTCTACTGTCTTCTTACTGTGACCAAGGTTTCACTTACTTTACATCCCTGTCTACTGCATTTTCCTTATTAAAACTTTATTGTTTACTGTTTGCTGCTGAGCCAAAGAGGATGCTACGATTACATTTTTTTCTTCTTGGACCATTTTTTGCTTTTCTTATTTTTATACTCTCAGATAGCCCTTTAAAATGCTTCTCGATACGGTGTTACACAGGTCTCTCAGATCATCTCTGCAGTCTGAGTTCCCCTGGGGACTCCTCCCGGGGCCCCCTGACTACCCCACCCACTGGGGCACCCCCCGGTCTTCCTTTGCCACCAGTGGCCATTCCCTCTGTCCCTCCCCTGCCTCCTGGACCCAGATCCTCGTCTGTCTGGAGTCACTCCCTCATTTTGGTGGAGCATGACCAGCAATAGCTTCTTTTCTTTTTTTTTTTTTTGCTGTACGCGGGCCTCTCACTGTTGCTCCGAACGCACAGGCTCAGGGGCCATGGCTCACGGGGC